GGATGATGATGAGGAGGAAGAGGAATGACGAGAGGGAGGACTCGTGGAGGAAGAACGAGTTTCGCTCCTTGCGCCAAGATTTATGATGTCCCAACCTACTTTAGCCTTTACCACCAGAAAGAATTTCGAGCACCAAGAAAGTACCGAACCTCGAGGTTCACGTGTCGGGCCCTGGGAGACACCCGCCCGACATTGTCTCGACACTCTTTCCACACTGTCTCCACACTCTTCCAGGTGCTCGAAATCCTTTCGGGGACGTGGCCTCTGAGTACATTGGGAGCAACATGAGCCAAGATCTCGGTGGCAGGACTCTGGCTCCGAGACGGGCGTCGGCACCCGCGCTCCGCTCTCCTGTCACGGCCATGGCGCTGGGGCCAGGACGGCCACCCTGAAGATTCGGGAGGGGCCTCGGCTCTCGGCCGCCCCCCCCTCCCCCCCCCGCCAGTGGGGTTAGGCCCCGTGGAGCCCGAGAGGGAAGCATGCTGTGGCCAGGGCGCCCCGTTCTGCTCCTCCTCCTCCTCGCCCTCCTGCTCCTCCTCCTCCTCCCCCTCCTGCTCCTCCTCCTCCTCCTCCTCCTCCTCCTCCTCCTCCTCATTCCTCCTCCTCATCCTCCTCCTCCTCCGCCTCCTCCTCCTCATCCTCCTCCGCCTCCTCCGCCTCCGCCTCCTCCTCCTCCTCCTCCTCCTCCTCCTGACGTTTCGTGCGGTGGCTGCACGGCGCCGACGGACGTCGACGACGCACGCCGATGTCGGTGGCAACGGCGACGAGCGCCGACGGCAGCGAAGACGACGACGAACGACCAGCGTCGACCCGTCGGCGACGACGGCAGCAACGGTGGAGACGCCAGCGGCAACGACGACGACCGCCCCCCTGGGTCGTCAGAGGCCTCCTGGAGCCCCCCGACTGCTCGCCTGGTGCCTTCGGGCCCAGACCTCCGGCGTTGTGGGTTTTGTCTGCGGCGCGAGCCTTCGGAACGTTGGATGTTCTTCCTGGGACCAGCTTCGAGTCGGCATGTCCTCCTACAGGGGGAGAACATCCAAACATGGAAACAAATAGTCGGGTGACGATGTTTCGGTCTGTCCCCATCATCCTGTCGTGTTGGGTCCTCGTTTTGAAGAGACAGCCCCGCGTCTCCCTCCTCTCCTCATCCCCCATCCACCCTCCAGCATCATCATCAGCAGCATCAGCAGCATCAGCATCATCATCATCATCATCATCATCATCATCATCATCATCATCATCATCATCATCATCATCATCATCACCATCATCATCATCATCAGCAGCAGCAGCAGCATCAGCATCACCATCTTCATCATCAACATCAACATCAACAGCAGCAGCATCATCAGCATCATCAGCATCATCCTCATAATCAGCATCAGCATCATCATCGTCATCATCGTCGTCATCATCATCGTCTTCGTCTTCGTCATCGTCATCGCTTTCGTCACACCCCTCACAGGCTTCGTGACCCCATAGGGAGCTCCACCGAAGGTCCCAGTGGCGCAGTCCATGGCGGCTCCGCCCCATTTCGGCACACCCCTCACACGTTTCGTGGCCCCATGGGGAGCTCCACCTACGGTCCCAGTGGCGCAGTCCGCATGGCGGCGCCGCCCCATCTTGGCACACTCCTCACGCGTTTCATGGCCCCATAGGGAGCTCAACCTACGGTCCCAGTGGCGCAGTCCGCATGGCGGCGCCGCCCTGTTTTGGCACACCCCTCACACGTTTCGTCGCCTCATCGGAAGTTCCGCCTAAGGCCCCAGTGGTGCAGTCCGCATGGCGGCTCCGCCCCATGTTGGCGCACCCTTCACACGTGTCGTGGCCCTAGGGAGCTCCACCGAAGGTCCCAGCGGCGCAGTCCGTGTGGCGGTGCCGCCCCATTTCGTCACACCCCTCATACGTATCATGGCCCCATGGGGAGCTCAACCTACGGTCCCAGTGGCGCAGTCCGCATGGCGGCGCCGCCCTATTCTGGCACACCCCTCACACGTGTCGTGGCCCCATAGGGAGCTCCACCTAAGGTGCCAGTGGCGCCGTCCGCATGGTGGCTACTCCACCGACGGCCCCAGTGGCTACGTTCGCATGCGCCCACCACACCTATTTCCGCACACCACTCACACGCTTCGTCGCCCCATCGGGAATTCCACCGCCAGCCCCAGTGGCTGCTTTCGCATGCGCCCACCGCACAATGTTTGGCACAGCCCTCACACTCGTCGTGGCCCTATAGGGAGCTCCTCTGAATGCGCTGCACACAAGGATGGTACTCACAACTGCATAGGTTGGGTCCTCCGCCAGGCTAAGTTTGATTGTTTTTGGCGATGTATACTTGTTCGATGGTTCTTCTAAAATCCACCTCTGGGAGGACGTGCCCGACCTAGGACCAGCTTTCCAACCCAAGCTCGGGGCTCAACACACGGGGGCCAATGCAAACGGGAGTCAGAGCGCCAGACCTTGCAGGATCCTGCAAGGCGAGGTGTGCACTGACCAGTGCAGGCGTGCAGGATCCTGCAGAGCTCGACTGACCCGGGCCTGGATTGACCTGGGTCCGTAGATCCCCGACAAGCGGCATGTTGCCGCCCCTGGGGCCATGTGAAGGCCCCCAGGAGGCAGGACATTGCCAAGAGCTTCCCGCCATAATCTGTTGTCGGCACGGCGCGAGGATGTCTCGGCCACTCGAAGAGTGGGGTAAGGGGGAGGGGGGGAAGGCGTCTCAGAAGGAGGCTGCTTCTAAGATCAGGCGATCGCCAGCATGGATTGAGGTGGCGTGGATTAGCGACGGGTCCCGCCGTTTCCATAGGAAATCGCGGAGTTCCGCCGCCGCGCGAGGCGGCACCAGCCACAGTTTGGGGAGGGCACCTCCCCCGGTCCATGGATTTGGCGACCGCGCGCCCAATCCGTGGATCGCTCATCCATGTTTGCGCGCCGGCGATTCTGTGGCAGGTCTTCCCGTCTCCCCCCCATTAGTCAGCGAGCGAAGAACGGTATAAGATAACCATTTTCGCCGTCGGGGACACCTGCCCCTGGGCGGCGAAAAAAGGGTTATCTTATACCGTTCGTCGCCCGTTAAATTAGCCCCTGGCGCGCGCCGCGAGTCAGCGGAAGCCGTCCCAACTCCGCCCCGGGCGGGCCCTCCGAAGGCGGCGACGGCCGACGCCCGCGGGAAAGGCCCTCCGTCGCCCCTGCGGCCCTCGGGCCCCTCGCGGGGGCCTCCACGGGCGGCGGCCGAGGCCGGCTGCGCCGGGGCACCGCGGCAGGCCCTCCGGAGGCCCGCAGACGTCCGACGATGCCTTCTGTAGCTTGACGTCTGGCCCCTGGAGTATAAAACGACGCGAAGACCGGGACAAAATCGGATCGGGGTAACTCGAAGTCTCTGAGAATCGGCGGGTTTGGAGGATGTATTGGGCGCCGCGGCCGCCCCAGAGCGTTCCGGAACGCTCTGAGAGCGCTCCGGAACGCTCTGGAGCGATTTATCCTGATCCTAGCCCTGTTTTCGAGTACGCACCCCGAGATCCTTCAGTTCAGCGATCCGGCCCCTGAGCGTCTCCATGGCGACTGGGGGGGCGAGAGGAGTACTGAACTGATGGATTCCGGTGTCCTGGCATGCCGAAATGCAGCAGTTCAGTAGTCCTCGCCTCCCCAGTCGCCATGGAGATTCTCAGGGGCCAGATCGCTGAACTGAAGGATCTCAGGGGACGATCCACTACTCGCAAAGTGCCTACTCGCAAACGTCCAAAAGGCACACATTCGCCTCGATGTGTAAGCTCTCGTAAATCCTCCGCGGCTGATCCAGGCCATTTGCGAGCAGTGACTTTGCGAGCAGTGGGACGCGCTTGCCTAAGAAGGGTCCCAACCCCTTCCCAGGGGGCAGCAGCCCATCATGGATCCATGTTTGATGGCATCGGGGCCCGACGAGAGTATGTTTGTTTGTGTTGGTCCAGTTGCTGGCAAGGTTACTCGCATGGCGCTTCGCCAACCGCCCACCCTTTCCGCTGCCCTCCATGTTTACCAGCGCTGGGCCGCAAAACCAGTAAGTGAGTCCAGGTTTGCGCGAAGTCCAGACTTTCCTCCGGGTGCGGCCCCAAAGATCTTGCGCCTAGAATTGCGAAACAATTTTTGATTTAGTCGTTTCGTCTGCTTTGTTGGGATATCTGGTGCCTATGATAACCAGCATCGAGCGCACCCCCGTCCCAAAGATTCACAATTCCAAAGGCGATGACAATCTTAGGGATGTGCAGTCTGGAAACCGAGGGAGCCTTTACGATTGTCATCGAGATAAGGCGATGCCAACCATAGCAGGCAAGAGGACCGTGCATCTGCTCAGGACGCCAGGGAGGCGACAGGGAGGAGAGGATGAGGACTAGGGAGGAGGAAGCGGCAGGAGGGGAGAGTGCGTGAACGACAAGTGCCAGTGATAGGTCGGCGGCGAGCGAGGGGGGGAAGTCATAAGGCGCGGGCGTTGTCAGAAGGCTCGGAAGTCCCCCGGCCTTCTGAGAATTTTCCTGCGCCTGCCCCGAAGATGCAGTAAACCTCTCAGAGGGTGCGCGGGCTCCTGAGAAGCCCCGCCGCCTTTGAGAAGGCCTACTCCCTCTCGCTTCCGCCCCTCGCTCGCCGCCGAGCAGGGAGGCGACAGGAGGAGAGGAGGAATGCGAAGGAGAAGGAAGCGGGAGGAGGAGAGAGCGCGAGAACAATATGTGCCAGTCATAGGGACAGACACTTGCGCATATGCTCCAGGCTGGACTCCCTTAAGGCTTGACGACTCTGCGACATTGGACTTCTGGGAATCCAGCCGGGCAGAAGGAAGGTCAATGCGCATGAATCTAGGCAGATCTGGATGAACCCAGGGAAACCCAGCTCAATCCAGGGATCCCCCATGAGACTTGGAGCCACGCGTCGCCGCGTTATAGCGCGAGTCGGGGGACGATGCAGGCTGGACACCTCTGGGCGGCGGCGCGCGCCGCGCCGCGCCGCGACCTCGGCGCGCCTCGCCGCCCCAGGCGGAGCCGGGGCGCGCGCCGCGGTCGCGGCTTGCCGCGGCCCGGAGGCAGGTGGTGGCGGACCTGACGGCGCGGCGGCCGGGGCAGCGTTGGATCGGTGCTTTCGTTCGAAGAAGAAAGAAGACGAAGAAGAAGAAGAAGAAGATTCCCAGATTCAGATCCAGATTATTCTCTTCGAAGAAAAACGCTATACACATAAACTTGTGGCGCTCCGCGCGGATTTCTTGGATCAGCGCCTGGGCCCCCCGGCGGCGCCTCCGCGTCAAGAAGGGGGGTCCAGCGCGAATCCAAGAAATCCGCGCGGAGCGCCAAAAGTTTATGATGATGTGGTTGGTTCTTCTTCTATTTGTGGGGTGGGGGGCCTGGGAGGGGGGGGGGGGGGAGTTCGATCGGTTTTTGCTCGGCCAGCCGCCGGCAGATGCGGATGGTTGCCGAGAGGTGGGGCATGTGGGAAGCATCTGTTTGCGGCAGTTCGGAGCGCCAGCGGATCGAATTCATGTACCCCCTCAGGGTCACCCCCCCCTTTGGTGGATCCCGATATTGGGCGTCGCTTCATCGGCCAGGGCCAGGACGAGGATATCAGTCCGTTCCAGAGCGTTCCGGGACGCTCTCGGAGTGTTCTGGGACGCTCCGACCTTTGAGAAGGCCGCGGCGCCCGAGGCATCCTGAAGAGCTGGCGGGGCTCAGGGCTTCTCGTTTTGCTCTCCCCCGATGTTCTCCTCGTCCTGGCTTCGTCTTACTCCGGGGGGGCGATACACGGGGAGGGGGCAGCGAAGGCTGCAGAGACGGGGCCTTCTAGGGCTAAGTCGGCCCTGTCCCTCTACAGGGGGAATATTCAGAAATAGTCCAGAAATAGTTTGGGGACTATTTTTTGAGTAGTTTGAGACATCTTTCGAGTATGTCTTGAGTATTTTTTATTTTTCATCCAAAACCCCCCCTGTAGGGGACAGGCCCGACCTAACTCTAGGGCTAGGGCCCCTGGAGGACGTCCCCAAAGTGGGCCCTGAGACGGGGGTCAGTGCAAACGGGAGTCGGCCAGAGCGCCAGATTTTGCAGGGTCCTGCAGGGCCAGGGGTGCATTGACCTGGGTTTGGGTGCAGGATCTTGCAGGATCCCGCAGGATCTTGCAGGATCCTGCAAAGCCTGACTAACCTTGGTTTTGGATTGACCCGGGTCATTCTTTCCACGAGCGCTCCCATATACTTGAACATGCACATGATCAGGAGTCAGTTTGGCTCAGGAGTCATTGGAGAAAAAGATACCCCTACCGCCATCTTTCCCTCGTTTTCGCCTCCGTGTCTCTCCTGGGAGGCCCTCGTCGCCACTGTCAGAGTCGCCTTGAAATTCTGGTCAGAACGCACCCCGGGAGAGGTCTGGGAAGTGGATGTATCGGTACTTGTTTGTCTCCCCACAAAGAGTCCCGCGTGGGACGGAAACGTTAGCTGGAATTGACAACATATTTGCGTGACAGTGTTTCCTCAGCCCGGCTCGATTGTCATTTTGATGCATGCAGGTGTCGGCGGATTTGACTGCGCGGTGGCAGGGCGGGGGTCTCGAGCAGTGGTTGATCGGCCTGACTTGTCTATGCTTGAATCGGCGCAGGGGATGCTAAGATGCTAAGGTCTAGGCCTCCAATCAGATCTAGGCAGGACCCCAGTTAAGGGGAGCCCATTAGTGTTTCTTTGGGTGATTGCAGTTCTGGTTAGTGGTATGGGGCGGGGGGGCGTCTTTTGGCACATCACTACACTGAGTCCCACTGAACCCACCCCGATCCAAGACGGGGCCTGAGTAGATGGGGTCTGAGGATCGCGCCGCATCGCCGATGCATCGACGATGCGGATCGATGTGGAACCCGATGTTCTCCACGCAGATGGTGACGATGCGTCGCCGAGGTCGCAGGTGCATCGCCGATACATCGGCGATGCGGCACCATCCTCCGACACCATCTTCTCCGACCCCATCTGAAAGGCTTCTAGAAGCAGCCTGACATGCATTTACTTGGATAGGCACTCTGGGTGCTACGGGAATGCGGGGAGTTCACAGTGGATGCCATGGTGGGCTATATATCTGGTCTAGCAGTGCTTATAAGTGGGTTACAGAGGCCCCACGTGGTTTGGGGGGGGTCATATACTGCCGATCAGTGGGCGGAGCCCAGGTAGCCCGGACCTTCAACCCCCTAAGATGCTCATGGCATATGTTGCCAATGTTTAATTTAGGTTCGGCCAGAAATCACCCACCTTGACATCCATATGGAGCACAACAATCCCATTCGCAATTCCCGCGCCAGTCCAAGCAGGCCCACCAGATCATGGTTCAAACAACGTTGTTGCATGCACGGTATGGTGTAAGATAATTCCCAGCGTTGGTTTGTTGCATCTTCTTCATGTTAGCCGAACTTAGTATTTCATCTAGTTGTTGGGTCCTTTCGTCGGTTCTTGGTGGTTTGCCGGCCTCAGGACGCGTTCCAGCGGTTGCGCTCTTCGCCGAGAGGCGTCCAGAG